GGGGCAGTCACCCCCAAACTGGAGCAGTGGCTAAAACAGATCCCAGGAACAACATCAGACATGTCAGTCCAGAAATGTGCAGTTCTAGGCACAGACAAGATACTGCGCAGAACCCTCAAGCTCCCAGGACTCTGGTAGAGGACCCGAGCTCAGAGGATGAAAGAGACCACCCGCGGAGGGTGAGAAGGGAATTTTTTATATATATATTCATTTTTGATTCTCAAAAACAATTGAGCAAATGGTACACAGACCCTGAACACACATGAAGCCTACAAAACAAAGGAGGAGGCTTTGGCCATTAGAATATTACAATAATTATTGTAATGAATACAGTATTTAACCCTCCTGTTGCTCTTGGGTCAAAATGGCCATTTTACCCAAGAGCAGCAGGCGGTTGAAAACCTTTAACTATTTATACAAAGTATTTACAAGCTGTGATACTTGTCAAATATTGTTCCTCATGGGCTTTTGTCTTTTTGTTATTTTAAGTCAATTATTCATTTAAAATTTAAAATTTTAGGATCAAAATGGTGATGCTGTTTCTTATGCTTTAATTTTTTTCTTCAGTGTAGTAAAATCAGTGGTGGAGCTAGGATTTTTCAGGGTAAGGTATCAAGGGGGCACACTATTTTAGAGGGGCACACATCCTTTCACACACATCCCTGGTTGTGTAGATGTAGATGTATACATTTAACCAGTCACACATGTTTGAACACGTACTGGAATTTAAAAAAAAATTGCAGAGTAAATTCTCCTTACCAGTTTTACATGCATTTTTACTGTACATAGATAAAATACTCTCAAACACACAGCGTGTGAAAAAAATCCAGCCATCGTTTGTCAGCTGAAAGACTTTCTGCAGGATTGTTTRCATTTTTTCTGTGCTTGATTCATRCTGGACATTCCTGTTGGACTCATTAGCGCCACKTGTGTTTGGACATGGAACTGCATCCATCATTGCTCTGGACAAAGGACAGATGAGTGACAGGACTGGGGCACTTCAGGGGTCCATGTCTTGTTTGAAGGAAAACTGATCATGAATAATTCAGGGTTCAATCTACACATGGAAATGTGTTACATTCACATACATTCAGTATGTTGTGTAAGAACTTGAGCACAAAAAGTTTTCTAAATTGTAAACTGTACATCTCTAAAATGCTATTTTTCTCCTGTGAACTAAAGCTTTTTGTGTAAATCAATACAATGCCTTGAAGTTGATTTGTGAGCTGATAATAAGAGGCCGCAGCTCTGAACAGTAGGAATGTTCAGTTGGACATAAATCAAATTGAGACTAATGTATGTGAGAACAGGAGTTAAACATGCAATAAACATGCCTTTAAACGTTGTTTTAACGGTCCTTCGCGCACATTTCTTTCTTCAAACACTTTGATCAGCAGATCATGCAGWGCGACCAGGAAGGTGATTGTAAACTGGCAGAAAGCCACCAGGCCTAAAGGTCGCCGAGTGTAAAGCTTCAAACCTGCGTCAGCAGCTGAGCGTGAAACTGCTGCTCTGTGGAGAATTCAGACGGTAAACAAGACTGAATGTGTTGCAACATAAAAAACACAACAGTAAACGGCGCCTTGCAAGAGTTTAAGCTTTAATTAAAACCTCAAAGATCAAGCTTAAATAAATCAACAAAACAAATCTAAAGCAAGCAACATATTTTTTACAGTTTAACTAAAATGACAAACAGGAAAAAAAAAATCAGAAAATTTGTTTCCTTAAATTTACATATTTCCTAAATGTTATCTTTGTTCATTAACATGATTGTATGATCTATTTTTCTCAGTATATAATTATGTTTGTGTTGACATCAAGTAGCTAAAAGCTGTTTGTTTACTGATGACATGCAACAAATATCAGTCATCATTTTATCTAAACCAGTGGGGATTTACAGAAGTCACCCTGCAGCATACCATAGTGTCTTTGGGCAAGACATTGAACCTCCCGCATCAGTGAAAGCAGCTGTTATACCATAAAGGCTGTTATAGAAAGCACTGGATGAGCATGAATGAGTGAGAAGCAGAACCTGAAGAGGTGAAAAGTATAAAACTATGAATGTGGGCCATTTTCACAACTTCAAAATGCAAGTGAAGGGGAGGGGAGGGGAGGGGTCAGCTACAACCCTCAGAGGCCCTGATTTTGATGCGAGCTTTTAGTAAAGCAAACCGTCTGTTATTTAATTTACTTGTTTGTCTCCTTTTCAGTTCACACCACCTCTCCTCCCCACACTTTCCAGGCTCATCCACTCATCACGTTTCCACAGAGACGCCAGCTCCTGTCCTCAGTGGCAATAATCTGAGACTGGTTTTGTTTCAGTTGACTGTTTGTTTTGTTTACGTTGTTCCCCTAAATAAAAAAAGAAAAACTAAAAGCATTCGGTGAGTGACCGCAGGCATTAGTTCTGAGGCAGTGGCGCYACAGTCTGCTGGACCCCGGCTGGTCCAGGATCAGTGACGGACRGTCTTCATCGCAGTGGGTTCCCTTCCTTTTCCTTTGTTTTCGACCCACTTCCTTCCACGTTTTCTTAGATTCTGTTCCCCCCATTGAA